CACAAGCCTGGGCAGAGACAGTCAGGCTAGTGCCCACACTGGGCTGGCTTCCTGTGGCTGGGAACAACTCCTGATGGCAGGCCAGCACTGGAATAGGGATAGTCCTCTGCTCTTGGTCGTCCCTGGCAGGAAGTCTGTGGTACCCGGGCCTCGACTGAGTTTTGGCACCAGGTGGGGATGCTTAGGAGTTGAAGGAAATGCTTCCCAGAAGACACCTGCCCAGATGGTGCATCTGCAGGATACCAGTTTGCCCCACGGCCAGGAGTTACTGGGGCTGCAGACTTCTACTGCAGACTTCTAAAGACCCTCTCTCTAGGGAATCTCTCGCTTTGCTCGCGATCGCGTGGCGTGGAGTGGGGTCGACCTGGGAGCGACTACAGCGAGGAGAGGCCGCGCCATCCCGGGGGCGGGGCGGGGCGGCTCCCGGGCTCCCGGCCCGGCCCGCCCTGACTCACCCTCTCCGGCCCGCCCGGGAACTCTGCGGGAGTCCCAGTCGATCCATTCCCTGGGATCTACGAGTTGGGCCCCAGAGTTTCATCCCTGAGCGGTGAGTAAGTAGCTGGGATTGGGGGGCTTTTGTCCCACGGGTGGAGATCAACCTGGAACCAGGGAATGGCCCAGGGGAGGATCGCTCAGGTGTGGGTGGCCCCGTGGCCCGGGCGAGCGCAACTCCCACACACATTGGGAACTGGGGCTGGCAATGGGAGAGGGGTGCCCTAACCCTCAGCCTGGCTCCCAGGAGCCCCTGTCCTGGCAATCAGGCAGTCCGGGACAAGCGAAGGAAGGGAGACCAACAGGCAGGCAACGACTTGGAGAGCCTTGATTTACACAGCCTGCCCCAGCAGGGGTGGTGAAGGTAGCTGAGAAAGACAGAAAGCTTGTCAGTGAGCGCCCTCAAAAGTGCAGAACCCCGATCTCACCAACCTGCTCCCTAAGGTTCTTACACTTCAAGATTCCAACACCCTTCCAAGTCCCAGCAAAACAGGCTTGGGAAACTGCTAGCCTAGGAGTCCATAGCTTCTCCCCGCCCCCCCCCCACAAGACTTGCCACTAGGGGTGACTTTTTTTTTTTTTTTTACCTCAGTAACTCCCTTGTAAAAAGAATAGGAATTGAACTTTGAACTTTCTGGGGTTTTTATGTGTTTACTTTGTTTACTTTTTATTTATTTTGTATGTATGTGTGTGTGCACACATGCCATGGCACTGTCATGGAGATCAGAGGACAAGTGTCACAGTTGGTTCTCTCCTTCCGCCTGATGGAGCCCTGAGATAAACTCAGGTCTTCTGGCGTGGCAGCAGGGGCCTTTACCCAGTGAGCCATCTCAGCAGCCCTGCTGTTTGGGTTTGGGGTTTGGAGTTTGTCTTGTTTGTTGGTTTGAGACAAGGTCGTAAAATGCAGGCTTGACTCTGACAAGCTCTTTAGGCAGCTGTCCTCCTGCCTCTGTCCTAAAGGATATAGGCATGTGTGCCACCGTTCCGGGCTTTATGTGGCGCTGGGAATTGAACCCAGGACCCGAACCAGCACTCTACCGACTAAACCACATCCCTAGTTCTGAGTTTGTGCTCCTGGGTTAAAGAACTCTTTGCTGTTCTTCCTGGCCCCTTAGCATATGGCGTGCAGCTGGGGAGGCTGCCCGGGGTTGGGAGCATCCTCTACTTTCACTTAGGCAGCAGAAGCAGGGCCTGGATGCAGGGAGGAGTTTGCATGATCCTCCCAAGCCTGGCCTCTGGGGTGTGGGTGTGGGTAGAGATCAAAGATTGACTTGGGACATCCTCCTCAATGGTTTCTCCACTTTATTTTCTGAGACATTTCTCACTAAGCCTGAAGCTCCTGGTTTTTGGCTCCTCAGGGATCCACCTATTTCACCCCACTGTGCTGGGGTTATGGACCTAGCCTGCCCTGTCCACTCCACATGGGTGCTGGGAATATCACTTTGGTCCTCAAACGTGTGCAGCAAGCTGTTTACTGGCTGAGCCACTGGGGTGCTCTCACTGGATGGAACAGAGCAGGTGCCCTCCAAGAGGAGAGGGCCTGACTGACAGGCTCAAATGATACTTGTAACAGTGAAATCTTCTAGGAGGCATGTTCATCCTCCAAGACAAAGGCCCCTACACTTATGTTTCCAAAGTTGAGATAAAATTCAGCATTAGGTGGACATGGTGGCACACTTCTGAGGAAGGGGGAATTGAAATTTTGGGTTCATCTTGTGCTACACAGCCAGCACAAGGCTAGCCTGGGCTACACAGCAAGACTTTGTCTCCAAAAAAAAAAAAAAAAAAAAAACAGTGAAAAAGTGAGGAGAGGGAGAGGGCTGGGGGTGGCTCAGGGGTCAAGTGCTTGCTGTGAAGGCTCGAGGGCCTGAGTTCGGATCTCCAGTACCCACATAGAAGCAGGACACTGTGGAACACATTGGTAACTTCAGTGGATTCCAGGGCTCGATGACTAGCCAGTCCAGCTAAAATGCCAAACCTCAGATTTCAGTGAGAAACCTTGTCAAAA